TACAAAAAAAAACCCACCCAGATGAAAAGTTTTTTTTCCCCCCCCCCCCCCCCAGTGTAAGGAAAAAAAAAAAAGTGATTCACAAAGAAGAGCGACATGATGTTGGTGCAGTTCATTAAATAAAGAAATAAAACAAAGTTCCTATGTACTTGAAATTGTTGCAGGTGGAAAACTAACCATTGTAGTTTCCCCTTCGTGAACACTGTGGCCACCTGATTAGCATAGAATGAATGTGTTTCAGGAATAATCATCGTACAAAAATAGCTTAGGAAGAGTGGAGAAAGGATTAGATACTCACATGAATAAGAATAGCATCTGTATTTAGATGAGCCAGGCTGAATGTCTCAGGGTTTTCAGGCATTGAGATGGTTGCCAAGAGTGGTCAGGAGAAAATGTGCTTCTGGACCATGGCATGCTAGTACCCAACTGGCCAAGTGCACAGGAGAGCATTCTTGTTATGTTTCAGAACACCCAAAATTTAGCCATCCAGGAGGTGCTGTACAGGCTGGAACCATGGGGCATTTATTGGCGTGCTCTGGGAGGCAGGTGGGGGATGCTTTAATTAGAGCGGCTCTGAGAGCCGCTCCAATTGAACCGCCTGGAGCATCATGTGTATCAGTGTCCTCCCGCTGAAAAATGGCAGCAGGGATGCTTTAATTAAAGCTCATTGAACGAACTTTAGTTAAAGTGCCCCCACCGCCATTTTTCAGCACAGGAACACTAATACATGTGATGTTGGAGTCTGCTGGAGCACAGTGGTAATTACCACAGTCCAGCAGACTCAATTGATCGAGTCTGCTCTGACGCATTGTAATTACAGCATATCAGAGCAGACTCTCTGCATGTGTATAGGTGCCCATCAGCTCCAGCATCACTGTTGTGCAGATTAACCCAGAGAAATTGAAAATGAGATGGTCTTGCCAGTGAGCCCCATGGTAACTATGGGCCTTCAGTGTAGAGGTGATGGTGAAATACCCATGTAATTGTTGTCCCAGGTTGCACAGTGTAGCGCTGGGTGTACAACCACTGTCTCCTTGTTTCAGTGTTCAGTGGCTGAAACGAGGAGATGTAGTGGCCTGATCACAGGGCTGGGAACAAGGAACTCTCAGTTGTCATCCCAGCTCTGACAGCAGTTACGTGTGTGGTTGTGACCACGTTATTTAACTGCTAACATATAATGAGAGCTCCTGTACTACTCTTCCCTGTTCATGGATAGGCATACTGAGCCATTAACCTTAAATCTTCATTAAAGATTTTTGTCTGGCAGTACTCCTTTTTTTAAATTTCAAAGTGTGTTTTAACATTGGTCTGCTGTTTTTAATGGGTTTGGCTCTGTTGGCAGAAGTTAGGGATTGCAGGGTGGTGGGAAGGACTTGGAGGACCAATGGGAATGGGAAGAGTGGACTCTGGGCCCACAACACTGGCAGCAAAATGGGGATAAGGTAGTCTTTGCCTCTGCTTTGGCCCAGCCCCTTCTTCACAGTCTTTGCTGATGCTGAGTCAGTCTCTCTCCTCCTGTACCCAACAGTGGGTGCAAGGACATATGTTGAGAGTTGTGGGGACGGACATGCTCCATATTGTTCCTGCAGCGGCTCTACCTTCCCTCTGCGGAGAGGTAGTTAGCTGTGTTAGTCTGAAGGCAGGCAGAAGGCAGAGTAGAGATGCACCTTATTAAGTAGTTGAGATGGATGTGGAGTGCAGACTTCCATGAACTCCCTTCATCTACCTTTCCTTGCCAGCCTCTTCCACAGGCCAGGCAGAGAGAAGATGGGCTGAGCTACCCTCCACAGCGTATTGGGAGTCCATGCTTGCCCAGCTCTTCACCAGTGCCCTCCTGCCTGACCCCGGCATACTGGGGCATGCTGAATGCCAGGAGGGAGGCAGGAGTCCTACTTCTCCCCCAAGAAACTAGAAATCTCCCTCTTCCTTGCCATAAAGCAGGGAATCAAAACACTATTTCCCCCCCCATCACTTATACGGGTGAGCGTGTTTGAAGAACCTCGCAGAAAGGCCCCTTCTCCCACTTGATCAGCCAAGGGGACCCCATCACACATCCCCAAAGACTGCTCAGTGAGTTGCTTGCCACTGCAGCTGCCATTAGAAACCTCTCCACAAACTGCCTTTCACAGCCACCGCAGGTATGAACAGCTGCCAGGCAGGGGAGCCATTATCTCCTGAGACAAGTAACAGTTGTCATCCCTCTGTGTCATCCCCCTCCACCCCCCTTATTAGTTTCAAGTAACACATGTTCCTTGAACTCCATTTTCATTTCTTCCTCTTTAATTTTCTTCCTCTGGTCTTATCCAAAGAGGTATGGCACACGTGGTCGTTCTGCTCCCCGACTGTGACTGCCAGTGAAGGTCTGTCGCATGGCTAATGCTTGCTCTCTCTGACTACCCTAGGAAGAAAGTGTTCGTCTGTATAGGGCTTCATGAGGGAGACTCGACCTGGAAAAAAAGCTATTCGCTTTGGCCGTGGGGAGCCTGTGACAAATTGGTTTCTACAAAAACTGTTTTTAACCCAGCAGAGTGGATTAATCTTACAAGGAGCATCTATAACTGGACTGAAGATTATGGAAGGTATGATGCCCAGCTGCTACCTGTCAGGTTTATCTTCATTAGGTTCTTAAATCATGAAGAACTCCACTGGGAGTTTCCCCACCCCCCCTTATTAATTGTTCTTCTGCCGCCAGCATACCTGATGGAGGAGCTGTGTGTGCAGTGTGAATGCATGTAGCTGTTTGCCTCCAGAGAGCCAGGCTCAAAAAGTGCAGAGGTCACGAGTGCAAACTGGCTTAGCAAAGTCATCCTAGTCTTTCTCTACCATAGAATCGGTGCAGTTTGGCATTGCTCACTATCATCAATAGTGTTTCTACGTGAGGCTCGCACTTGGGGTCACAGGAATGATTAGGGCTAGCGAGTAGGGCTGTGTGAAATTTTGCGGGATGTTTCATTTTGAAGCTGTTTCTATGCGTTTTGAGCTCAAAACAGCAAATTCGAAATGAAACAAAAAGCTTTGAAATGGCTTAGAAATGAAATGAGGGTGCTTTGAAATGTTTCCAAGTTTTGAAGCCGGGCTTACTTGGCTTCAGCATTGGTCCCAGGTGGCAGCGGCAGCCTCATAGTTTCATAGATTTAGGGTCGGAAGGGACCTAGTAGATCTTCTAGCCTCCTCTCATCCAGTGTGCAGATCCAGGGGCCTGCATCCCTAGGAGGAGTCTGGCAAAGCCCCGCAGCCCTCCTGGGGGTGTGGGCCCCTGGATCTGTGCACCAGATGACAGGAGGCTGCCACTGCGTCCTGGGACCAGCAGCAGCAGCAATCTTCTTGGCGCTGGGCGTGGGGTGCACCCAGCACCAGTCCCAGGTGACAGCGGCAACCTCCTTTCATCCCACACGCAGATCTGGGGGCCCGCACCCCCAGCAGGAGTTAGTCACAGCCCCGCAGCTGTCCCAGGGGTGCAGGCCCCCAGATCTGCACATCGGATGAGGGGGTTGCCACTGCAAGTGTCATGAGTTCTGCTTTGAACAGTTTGTGGTGCAGTTTCCCAGAAACCTCTGCATGTGTCTCCTTGAAACTTGGCAGGCTTCATGCTCCCAGAAGGGGTACCTTCCGTGCAATCTTCATCTGAATCAGGGAAGAAATGACAAAGTTTTTGGTATTTTCATGATTCCCCATTATAGCCTTTGGAAGAAACGTCAAAACAGCAAAACAGTTTCAATGAATTGAAACAGAACAGTGCTTTGTAACGCAATTAAATGATGAAATGAAACACTGTCCCTTAGAAACAGCAAAACGGAAGTCAAAACGAAACGGTGCTGTTTCGCACAGCCCTACTAGGAAGGTGTTTCCGACCTGGACATTTGTTGGCGCTTTAAGCCGGAGTTGAGGGGCACTAACAGAGCTGTGTAGAGATTCATACAAAGCAGTTTTTATGCTTTTTCCAGATATTGCTATGAGCACTGAAGCTATGATTCAGCAAAAAAAATAGCATATGCACTAAGGCTATCTGTGTTCTGTGGACCACTAAAACACTTCCCCAAATGCCAGCAAGGTCCATGAGATTTAAGAAAGATGCTGTAGTCCCTTGCTCAATAACAGTGCACTTAAGTGGTCCCTTAAGTGCGTTGCTGAATCTCAAGCTTCCTTCTCCAGCCCTTAAACAACATAGTTGGATTTTTAAAGATTTCCATGGGCTTTTAAAAGGACGTGTGATCCTACATCCAAAAAAAAAGATATGAGCACTACTTTTTTCAGAGCTGTGGTATTAAAGTACAATTCATACAATAGTTTGACCCCCTGGCAGCTAAATACCAGGGGCTTAGCTCTAAAACTTGGTCTCTTTCCCCCCCGTTCACATGGGTCAAAGAGCATTAAGGCCAAATCAGCCGACTCCAGGAGACCTATGAACAGAGCTCTGAAGGTTGCTTCTCTTCGGAGACTCTACTGTGAGACATGTAGAAAAGTAGAGCTAGAAAATGAGTTATGAAGGAGCAGATTCCTCCTGATTTCTTTGCTGCCTGTCCCCTGAAGTCCCTTAGTGGTTTCTTCTGTCCTGGTGGCTTATACCCTTTGCAGCTTGGGTTAGGTGGTTGTGCAGATGGCAGAATGGCTGTGTGACTACCAAGGGTGGATTCAGTACAGTAGATCAGACGACTTACTTTTATTTTTGTTCCCTTTTAGATTTGATGCGTCTTCATGGGAAGCTGTCGCCAGTGAAGAGATGTGGCAAGCCAGGTGAGGTTCCTTCCTTTCCTCTGCAACTTGCAGTTAGTGATGCCAAATTGCTGGCATGGAAATTCATGTCGTGGTAGTCAGCATAATCATAGCGTATAGCTATGCAGAGCTGCATTTCCCAAACCTTGTGGGTTTATGTCCCTCTGTAGTAGTCAGGCACTCTTCCCTCGCTCTGTTTCAGCTGCCACCGGCGCTTTACCTCATTGCTGATTCTCATCGGTGTTAGTTGCCACTGATTGTCTTCATTTGCAGTGGCTGGAGTGGGGGATGGAGGGGCATGACAGAGCCTGAAGTAGGGAGACTGCTGTTAACTTTCAGTGATTCACAAGTGCCCTCTGCCCCCACCCTCCCCCCAAAAAACTTTTCAGGCCCTGCAGTATGGAAAATGCTAATAAAAGAGCAGAGCTTTAAGAGAGAAAATGATTAGCACAAAAAGACTTAAGAATAATTCTGTAAAAGAAGAGACAAACCCTCTTTGACTGTCATCTTGAAAAAACAATTATTGGGTACACATGTTAGCATGGATCTGTGTGGAACAGGAGTACTTGCTTTGAAGAGCTGATAACTTCATAATGGAGAGGCAGTTCCAGTGCTGTAGGCAGTCATTGACTGTGCCTCAGATGGTTTTAGCCTTGCCACAGACTTTTATATTTCCTGTTGTAAACAAAGGAAAATGGAGGGAGCAGAGATTGTCAGCCAGGCTATAGCACCCTGGGGTGCTTTGAGATCCCTGTAGGGGTGCTGCAGGGTGCCATGCAATGTTAGCACTGTTAGGTGTGCAGAAGTGATTCACTGGATAAACCCAGATATTTCAAATAGGAACCCAGAGTGTGAAAACCATTCTGCCTTCTCGTGGTCTATGTTGTTTGCAACTGAAAAACTACTCTACTATTTTTCTGTACTTAAAACATTGAGTGAAAGCCATGGAGCTGGTATTTCCTGAGGAGTGCCTTGCACCAACCAAGTGGTGTTTTGAGTCTAAAAAAGTTGAGAACCACTGGGCTTGAGGAAGGCTTGCTGGCAAGGGCATTGCTCTGCATCATCCGGACCGTCCCTAACATCAATGCAGTTCAATCTGAATAAATTCCCTTGATCCGATCCTGCAGAAATACACTATTTTTTCTTTCACTAGTAGAATTTGCTGGGAATGTGTTGAGGAAGGAGGAGGAGGGTTTGGCTACAGAGTAAGAAAGCAGGTGGATATAAAAAAGGTTCTGCAGTAACCATGGGCTTTCTGTAGTGTTAAAGAGTTGTCTGAGACTCTGATGTGGCCTCGTTCTGGTTAAAAAATGTCTTATGCTAGTGCTAATGAAGTTTATATTGTGTTCCAGGATGAAAACAGCCTTCTTCATCTTTGACCTTGCAGAAGCAGCTAGTGTGTCAGCAGATATAAAATCACAACTTTATACGTTTGCCTACGAAGTAAATGATTTTTGTTACCTTTTTTCCTTTTTATTTTTTGCAAATGTTGAGCTCTCTCTAGTGTTTTGACATCATAATAGTGCCCTTGGCACTTGCACATACCTTGCTAAGATAAGTGCTGTGTGTGTTTCTCCTTGTTCATCCAGACTATATCCATGGCAATTGTGAAAGGGGGCTGCTAAGGAGTTGTATTCATTCCCATTTCCCCCTTTTATTTGCTTCCCACAGCAATCAGGGTGATCTGTGTAGATAATCACTCGGTAAAGACAGGCAATTCCAGCAGCTGGCCAGTCAGTACCTTGTTCTCTAGAATTATGTTGTCTGTGCTTGGCTCCTAAACCTGTGCTAGTAGAGCAGTCATCCTGAGGTTTGCTGGGTAGGCTGGTCTCCCACATTAGTGTGTAGCCACGCCAAGCCAGTGGACCAGCAAATATAACTTTCTAAATTATTCTCTCCAGAAGTGACTTGCACTACACTTCTCTCTCTGTCTCACGATCTGCAGTCTCTAATTCACATCTTTTTGGTAGCAAGGATGTGAAGGGTGGGTCTGTACTAATTTAGTGGTGCTCCTGACAAGGGTCAGTAAGAAGCACAGCCCTGCTCCTGATCCCCACACAGCAAACCTACAAATGAAGCCAGCTGGAGGATGCCCTCAGCCACTGCTTTTGAGATCTCTGTCTCCAGCTTGCTTGAGAGCAGCAATGCTTCATTTCTGGGATGGGAGTAGATTTGGAGCCAGTAAGGTAATGAAGGGGGAGCAAGTGTGGCATGAACCCGAGGTATCAACTTAGGGAGCACATAAAAACAGCAGCCACCACCAGGAGCCCAGATGCTGCTGCTGCTGTTCCCCTGTGCACCGCTGCTACGTGGGGTGTAGAACTATTCAGCTATGCCTCTGGTTGGGTAATGCTGTTTGGCATGACTGAGGAGTGCCGTGGAAGTAGCATAGACCCAGAGTAGACATACCATGAGGGGTAATTGTGCCACTGTATGTCATTCTGTGATAGAAATGTTCATAAACTAAGGGGAAGGCAGGGTAGACTTGCACCTTATGGACTAACTAAATCAAGATGTAGAGCCTTTGCAATCCTATGCTCACTTCATAAATGATGAATCTGATGAAGTGAGCTTGGGTTCATGAAAGCTTTTGCTATACATCCCTGATTTAGTTAGTCTATATAAGGTGCAAATCTACCTTGCCTTCTGCTTGACTTCAAACTAACACTGCTAACCACCTCTTCCTGCTCATAAACTAGGTTAAGACAATTACTAGTTTCCTCCTTTGTACATGTTAGTGTTGCAGCCCACACTTCAGCTGTGTTCTCAACTATGCACGTGGTTAAATCCCCAGTGAAGTTGGACTGCTTTCCTGACCTTATGAACAATTGAGTAGATATCTTCCTTATACGCTAACGGTTAAATCTTTTATAACCTAGCACTTCTCTCAGGATAATGTGTAAAGTTGTAGTCTGAGGGTATCTCCATCATCTGCAACTGTCATAAAAAAAGAATTAGCCAAATTTTAGTAGCTTGAGATATTTTTGCTACTTGGTGAAATTTCAACTCGCACTCTGTGCATTGCTTCATAAACCTTAGACCAAATTATAAACAAAACAAGGTCCATTCTAGATTTTGGCCATCATAATAGTGTCCATCTTTTGTAACTGTGCTTTTGCAGTGTCATATAAAAAAAAACAAACGGAAACTGTTCTCTTTCCTTTCTACAGCTCTACAAGGAAATTGTCAACTCGCATAAAAAGCATCCAGTCAATTGGCATAAAAACTACGCAATCGCTTGCGAAAGGATGTTGCGTCTGCATCAAACAGATGTCGACCCTGAAGAGTTGCTCTCTGAAACTGTGAAACATTTCCTCCTCTATACAGAAAAAACAGAGGATGATCCCCAGCGGGTGGACATTTTGCAGGCTGTAAAACACCTGAAGAAAGAGCTGCATGGGCTGAGGAAAAAGAAAAAAGATGTGAAGCGCCAGGCTGGATAGAACCCATTTGACTCTCCAAGTCTGAAAAGCTAACACCGTTGAGATTGGGAGTGAAAAATGAAATCTGTTCTTAACAACATGAGAACAGCGCAAAAACTACTTCACAGTTAGGGCGGCTAGGAGCTGGAACCAACTTCCAAGGGAAGTGGTGCTGGCCCCTACCCTGGGGGTCTTTAAGAAGAGTCTGGATGCCTACCTGGCTGGACTCATTTGAGTCCCGTTTCTTCTTTTTAGGGTTTTGTTGTTCTCCCGCCCTGGTGGGGGGTCGGGCTAGAAGATCTACTAGGTCCCTTCCGACCCTAAATCTATGAAACTATGAAACAGTTCTTTAAAAGACACGGAATTAGCAGCAGTGGGAACCAAGTGATTGTCTCAGTCAGTGGTTCTCTCCTTTTTCAGTCGAGGCACCCCTCCACAGCTCTTTTGAATGTGGTGGCTTGCATGGTTGAGAACCACTATTCGTATGGTCTCAGCTTACCTCGGTGGTTCTGAACTGTGCACCACTGCCCTGGGTAAAACTATCCTGCCTGCCTGGTATGCAGCCAAACTGGGAAAGTCTGGGGCACGTGTAGTTTCTTGCTTCAATAAGATTCTCTGATAACCCTACTGTAGACTGGAGAACCGGCTCATGCTGCAGGCCTTCGCAGTCCAACTCTGCATAGCGTCTTCTAGAAAGAGGCGCACAGGACGGGTGGAACTGTCCTACCTGTTTCTGGGAGGAGTGTGAGTAGGGCAGACCAAGTAGGGCTACTGCAGAAGCTGGCCCTTCTTCCTGATTTAGGGTTAATGGAGAACCCTAATGCAAGAGGAGCATGAGTTATGCCACAGCCCTGTGTGCAAAGCAGCTTCATCTGGCCCCTACAGCAGTGCCTGCATCCCCTGAGTAGATTTCACAGCACCCCACTTGAGAACCACGGGTCTAGATAGAAGTGTAACATTGTCCATTTGTGGTTGCCAAATGTACAGTTCTGGTGTCCAGAACTATTTTGTGTAAGGGGGAAAACACATTATAAGAATAAATACTGTTGTTTTAAAAAAAAAAAAAAATGTTGACCACGAAATGAGAAAAGTTCAAGATCCTAAGGTAAGGAAGGAAGGAGAGCAGTAGAATAAAGATACTGGGCTTTAGAAAAGCAGACTTTAGCAAACTCAGGAATTAGTGGGCAGGATCCCCTGGGAGGTAAGTCTGTGGGGAAAGCTGTCTGACTGTACTTTTAAGGAGGCTCTTCAGAGAACAGGAACAAACTATCTTGATGAGACAAGAATGGGAAGTGCACCAGGAGAGCAACCTTGCTAAACGGCAATCTCTTTGAATCGAAACTGAAAAAGGAGTATTCCATTCCAAAAAATGGACACTTGGTCCTAGTACTAAGGAAGAGTATAAGATCATTGCATGGGCATGCAGAGAGAAAATTAGGAAGGGCAAGGCACAGTTTGAGATCCAACTGGCAAGACACATAAAAGACAATGAAAAGAGATTCTACAAGTATGTCCAGAGTAAGAGGAAGACCAAAGAAATGGGTTCCTTATGGAGTGCAAAAGGCGATGTACTGTTTTTATTTGATTCTAAGATGAGGTTCCCCCTGTTTAACATGGGTGGGCCAGGGACAGACCTCTTGTCTTAAAATCCAGTATGAGGGCAGTGGGGTGGGGGGGCAGGTGGCTGCTGTAGCTCGGGCTCTGGCCTCTATCTGGGATTGGGACCATAGCCATAGCACGGCCCCATCCTGGCCTCAAAGCGGTGGAGCGCAGCATGCACAGCTGCTACAGGGGCTGGGCTGGGGTTATGGTCACTGCCCCGGGCTTCAATGGGAACAGAAGGGAGGGAGGGAGGAAGTGGGGAGCTGTGGCTGGAGGGGGAGAAGAGAGGGCCCAAAGCTCATGGGGGGGGGAACGGATAGGGGGCCCAGAAGTGGTAGGGGGCCAGGCACAAGCAGGGGGCTAGCAGCTTGACCTCCCCATACCACCTGCCCCCTAACTACTTGCCCCCCTGCAGCAGTGGGTGGGGATGAATTAAAAATGAACCTCCAATAATTAGATTCTATACATGGGAAATTATAACAAACTTAGAAATTTTCCATATATAGAGCCAAATTATTGGGGGGGGGGCATCTTAAATTCAGGGTTGCTTTAAATTCAAGTAAATGTAGTAGTTATGGATGATGCAGAGAAGACTAAAGTATTTAATGCCTTTTTTACTTCTCACAAATTGGGGGCAGCTACCAATGACAAGCACTGGTGGCAGCAAAGATAGGGAAGGAGTTAAATAGCCTAGAGTTATGGCAGAACAGGTAAGGGGTTACTTAGAGAAGCTAGATGCTTTCAAATTAGCCAGTTTGGACAGAATGCACCCTAAGGTCCTGAGGGAAATAGCTGAGGTAATTTCAGAGCCATTTGCCATCCCCTTTGAGAACTCATGGAGGTCAGGTGAGGTCTCAGGCGATTAGAAAATGTCAAATTGCCTCTCTCAAAGAAGGGAAGAAGCAGGATCCACGGAACTACAGACGAGTTGGTCTGATCTCAATACCTGTAAAGATAAAGGAGAAGCCCCTGGAGGAGAACATGGTGGTCAGGAACAGTCGGCATTGATTCACCAAGAGTAAGTCATGCCTGACCCACCTGATTTCTTTTTATGATAACGTGACAGGCTCTGTAGATGTATGAAACACATTGGATGTGATCTACTTTGACCGTAGCAAGGCTTTTGACACTATTTGCCATGACATTCTCAACAATGTCAAGCCAAGGAAATCTAAACAAGACAAAAATGGACGCAAAGTAGCCAAAAATGGACCCTGCTTTCCTATGATTTATCCCCCATTTATAATATAGATGCCATATATGTTCCACCAGAACTGTTTTGAGGGTGTTAAAGAGTTTGACCTTAACCTGACTCCACAAGACAGACTTTTTTTTATCATAAATCCAGCTCTGTAGGGCTCAGAAATCCATTTTCTAAAGTAGCATCACCATATTTTCACACACTCACATGTTGGACCCTACTTGCCAAGCTGGGGTCTTACCTTTCCATCATACAAAGTTTCCATTTCTGTTTTTTCAGGCCCATCACATATTAAAATCCTGGCAGGTTTATGCAGAGACAAGCTGTACCTGATTTGAATCTTGGTGGGAGGGAGAAAGAAAAGGCATTTAGGTGGCAACTGTGAAGGCTTCTCTGAGGATTTGATGTGTTAGACCAAGCAGAGATGGAGATGCCTTAGGCTAGGGACAGACATTAGACATAAACTGGTGATCAGAAACTGGTTTAAACCTGTAACAGAACAGATGTTCAGTGCACGTAAACCAGTTTGAAAATGGCTGAAACCGGTTGAGATAAACCTGGTTGAATGTAGTATCAGACTTAACTGATTTGGGTCAAACCGGTTTATGCGATGTCTATCCCAGACCCCTTGCTGGTTTATGTTAAATCGGAGTCCTTCAGCATCCCAGCATGCTCTCTGGGCTGGGCTTTCTGCTCCAGAAAGCTGGGCTGGCCCCTCCCCTTTGGTCCCTGGTTGCAGCTCTGGCAGAGATGTACAGCTGTGTCTGCCTGGCTTCCTCCTGCTATCCCCCCATCCCATCAGCCTTACAGAGACACCTGTCAGCATTAGCTAGCAGACCACATGCTGGCTACAGTCCGTGCTGTGGGAGACAGGGCAAAGGCAGACAGGACAGTGTTGGCTTAGGGCTCTTTGGAGCTAATCAACAGGTAACTGGTGATGTCCCTCCTTTCCTTGGAAACAGTTGCTTAAGAAGAGCTTGAACTAATGAGAGATGGTTTGCTGATGGGGTGATAAATGCTCCCTGTGTAACTCAATGCTGTGTAAATCCCTGCTGGCTCCCTTGCTGACCAGTGAGGGGGGAACCCCTCCTGAATCAGAGTGTCCTGCGGGGCCTGGCCATGCCCCCCCACCTCAGTTCAGCACTATAGAAGGGGAGGGAGGTCTGCTCTAACACCCCCTGGCTTCTAGCCTGAGCCACTGCAGGCATGTGCCTGCATTCTGGAATGAAAAGGGACTGTCTAACGCCTCCAAATCAGTTCAAGCGTTGCACGTTAGACTAACCTGCAAAGATTGAATCAATTCAGGCTCAGACTTTTTGAATGTTTGTCCCTAGACTTGGTGAGCAGAGTGCAGGTGAAGCTGGTGGAGATGTCATATTTATCATGTGGCTCTGCAGTTTATCATGGGGGAGCCACCTCAGAGGTATATTGTGTGTGTGTTCATTCACATGCATACATATTTCCTCACTTCTCATCCGCAACAAAATCTCTTCGTAGTGTAGATCTGTGTTTTGACACGGTGAACGACAACCCATAAAGGTTTTAATGAACAAACAAATAAACCCCCTTTCTCTTTGTAATTCCCTATTGGCTGGTTGTGCAACAAATTACAAAATTGGAGAAAAAAAGTTTTTTTTCCTCGTTTCTTGTATTTGGGCATTTGACAGCAGACTTTATCTGTTGTCTGAAAATCCCCCGCGCAACAACATAAGAAAAGACATCAGCAGAAAAGAACATTTAAAAAAATAGGAATATACTGTTTTAAAATGTCAGAAAACGAGGGGAGGCAGAGATGTATGTTGAACTCTTGTGCACTAATTGACTAGATTTCAGGCTGATGGTGCCCTCTTCATTTTTATCAATTGCTGTGTAAGTGTGCACATGAAACTACACAATATCACACATTCCTACATACCAGCCTTTTAGAACAAGAATACCAGCACTCTCCTCTCTCATAATCAGTCCTTCAGCGCAGCAGAAAGCATTTAGGCATCAAATTATTGAATGCTTTTGTTAACTACATTATTGAAAACCCATTCAGGCAAATACAGTTAGTCAGGTTCTGCCTCGATTAGATGTCCTCTTTCTAGCTGCATAGTCTTAAAATAATTGGAAGCTTTTGTAAAATTTACTATCTACTGGGAAAGGAGAGAGGTGCAAAGATCTGTGATCCGACTGAAATACTGGAAATAAAATATTTTAGTTGGGAGCAGTGCAAGTTAGAGATGATTTTTCCCACAGAAAGGTACGTGCCTTAATTTGGATATCGT